TATACCTATCTCATAGAACTGAAAGGGACCTTTAAAGGTCATCAAATCCAGTCCCCTGCCTTCACTAGCAAGACCAAGTACTGTGCCTGACCGTTTTTTTTCTTTGCCCTGATCCCTAAATGGCCCCTCTCAAGGATTGAACTCACAACCCTGGGTTTAGCAGGCCAATGCTCAAACCACTGAGCTATCCCTCCCCCCGTCTGATTTTTTTCTATAACCGATTTAAATGAGAAATGAAGCATAAAGACAATAACAGGATGTTGGGATTTTATTACCCAAATATTCATTAAAATCCCATAATAAAGCCTGTTTTATTAATGCTGAGAAATAAAGGCAAGCTTAACAAAGGAAAATTTAGATCTGCTAACATGATAATTTCCTGTTTCTGCTATTGAGCAAGGGTACTGCATGTATAACTCTCCATACAGCTGTCCTTTTGACCCATCTTCTTGCATTTCTCTCTTCTTTCAACTTTACTCTAAAGGCCAGAAATCTTGGTCATCTTGGATCCCAACTTCGCTTCTCCTCACAGCTCCACTTTAAAGTTGACTACATTTGACTTAACATGTCTTTCTTTGTCTACACTAGGTCCTAGGACTAGTAATTTTCCAAGAGTAGACAAGCTCTATATGTTGGTATGTCACAATTCCCAGATCTTTGCCAGACTTCATCCTTTTTTTGATTCTGCCTCTTCTGAAATCCTTATCCGGCTCCCATATTAGCTTTCTCCTATTGGCTTTCTCGGTCCCTACCCTTTTAAAAGGGGGAGTGGCGAGGCTGTAGCAACATTACATTCTTGCCTCAAGGAATACGATCTATTGCTCTCATCCTGATTTTTCCTAGGCATCCTAACCACTTCAGATTCAAACACTGCTGCCTTGGTTTTCAAAACTGAAATAACTCTGCTTTCCATCACAATCTTCAGCCATTTTCACCCACTCCCTCCAGTCTTGGCCTCTTCGCAGTCCCCTCTTCAGTTCTTTTCTCTTGCTGTGCCACAAGCATCTGCCTGCATGCACACCCACGCACGTTTCTCCCTTCCTCTCTCAAATTTCTGCAGTACTGGTGAAGCCCAGCAGAGCAGTGTATTGTTCCCCCTGCTCTTAAGAGTATGTGTACAAAGCAACTAGACACCCGTGGCTGACACGTGCCAGCCAGCTCCAGGCTGTGTGCAGCTGTTTGATTGCTGGGTGGACTTCCGGGTTCTGGGACCCTCCTGCCTTGCAGAGAAATGTGGGCGGGTGGGTACGTACGTGTCCTAGAGTTTGGGCTCCAGCCTGAGCCCAGAAGTCTACACAGTAATGAAACAGCCCCACAGCCCAAGTCCGGCAAGCCCGAGTTGGCTGGCATGGGCCCGCCATGGGTTTTTCTTTGCTGTGTAAACATACTGTAAGTGCCACCTGCAAGGGATGAGAAAAACCCAGTCTCTGGGATACTGCAGGGATACTTTCTGTGTTCAGCAGGCTGCACAAGAATTGAGCAAGACCAGGGTGGTTAGAAGCGGATGTAGAGCTCTAAGGCCCATTCCTGTATGTCTCCTACCTGTTCATACCAGTATGTGAGCGCTCACTGGGTTCCCAGAGGTGGGGGAGATGTGTGGTTCTCACTCCTGTAATGCAGGTGGGTAGGCAGCTTTACAGTTAGTGTTAAGGGGAATAAAAAGCAAATTTGTATTGATATGCTTTACCTGTTTGTCTTTTGAAGTGGTTTTAAATAAAGGATGTTAAATTTTGATCTGCAACAACCTGCTCAGAGCATTGCAGTTTCATGGCAGTCTGGAAAGTACTACACTTTAGGATACTATCCTTATATTACCAGTTTAAATACAGTGGTTAATAGCCAGCTTTGTGGTTTGGTTTTGCTTCAAGGTATCTTATTGTTTGCCAGCATGAGCATGTAAAATAATTTATTAATATAACTTCAACTCTTGCTCTTAGCTATTTATATTTGGATGCTGTAAGTCAGGCAAGTCTAGGGCTGTGTGAATATGAAAACAATACTTCTTTTAATGAATAACGCTTGCGTGGTGTATTTATCTAAGTCTGTTCATCCTACAAAAACTGATCTGAGCAGTCTCCACCCTATACTAGACCCATAATGTGCACTCTGAAACTAAACTGACATGTCAAAGGAACAGACTTACTGTACATGGAGATTGATAACTCTTGTTTCTTGTCTAGTGTTATCCTTTTCTGGCATCCAAAGGGATAGACTAAAACAAAGTATGTAATTTGAAGAAAAGGTGTGTTTGAGAAATATTACCTTTCAGCAACTTCACACCTGCTAACATGTTTAGATTGACTCCAAGCATTAATCATTGAGATTTCCTCCATCCCATGTATAATCAACTATTATTCCTGTGTATAAAAATCTATCTGAGGTACTTACATGGCCACACACTACTGTAATATCCAAAGGCCTCACAAGCTTTAATGTATTTATCCTCAGCACCGCTGTGAGGTAAGGAAGTGCTGTTATTTCCGTTTTACAGATGGTGAACTAAGAGACAGAGACATTAAGTGACTTGTCCAAGGTCACACAGGAAGTCTGTGGCAAAACAGGAACTTGAATCCAGGCCTTGAAATTCCTAAGCTAGCACTCCAACCTCTGTCTGTGTTCACATGCATATACATATTACTTGTCATTGGTGTGCATGGTTCTTTAAGGACAAGGTCCCTGCCCTGAAGATCATACAATCCAAACTGAGGTGGTGGTAAAGCAAGAAAACACCACTATGAGCAACATAAGATGTAAGAAGGAAAACTGCTAATGAAACAGTAATGTTTAAAAAGAAATCAGATGCTCATTGTGTGTCTATTTCGTGTCGTTCCTGTTTCTTTGTTTAACACGGTCAGGCGAGAGAGAGGGAACAGACAGCGCCGAAGCTGAGATTAGTCATGGAAAGCACACCGAAAAGTGAGTTTTGAGAGAAGGTATTTGGAGGAGGCCGAGAGAGGGCACTTGGCACGCAAGAAGAAAGAGGTTACTTCAGGAATGAAAAGGGCATGGAGTTTTGGGTTGGTGGAGGAGACAAAGGGATTGAGTGGAAATCTGTAACTTGAGGATCTGGTGCATTAACCAACCGTAAGAGTTTTGCTCTTATGGTTTGATGTCAGCAGATCCCCTTGATGGAATTACTCTCAAGGATTACTACTTATGCAACAAGACTGTGTGTTTTTCATGAGAGTAGGTGTATTATCCTGGGAATCCTGCCCACGTTCCAATTTGGATCATTACATTTATCTATTTATCTAAATCCCCCCTGTTTCAAATGTGTATGAGGTTCCTCACTTCCTAACCTAGACTGTAGTGTACTTTGCACTTTTAAATAGTTACAATGTTCTACTTCAGACATGGCTGCATTACAGTGGTGGGTGAAGTGAGCCCTATATATTCCTTATCTATCTTGTGGGATGCAGTCAACATTAATATTTGTAAAGTCCTTTAGAAATGCAAAGTAAGTTTTGCAGGTAACAAAACAAAATGCAGAACTGATTCAATTTTAGTATCCTATTTTCAGATCCTGTTTTCATAATTTATCTAAAAATCTTTCCATATTTGATCTAGTCTAAAGGTAATGTTGTTGGTCTTTTTTTTGTGTTTTGGTCAAGGGCTAAGGTAGATAGATAGTCTTTCCCCATTTTAAGAAATTATAATTTTTTTTAGTCGTGCCTATAACACAAAAGGCTCTAACTGGAAACTTTTCACGAAAATATTTCTTAATAAAGGGAGTTTAGCAGCTTTACAAGATTTGGGAGGAACAAATTTAGTAATAGAAAAGTTTTCTAAGTAACTGAAATATGATTTTTGAACATGCTTAGTGGGCTTCTGCTAAGATTTTTAGCAGTCTACTCTTGCCCCTCCGCTTTGTGACATATCATACAAAAGATAGGGAGAACTGTGTATTCTCTACTTTTTCTATCACAAATATAGGGGCAGCTGTTGTTAGTGGGAGAATTTGCATGAGGGAGATTGTTACTGCATCAGAACACATGCAGCCAAACCCAAAAATTGCATCAATAGTAGACAGGAAGAAATTGTGTTTAAAAAAAAAAAAATGCAGATCGAACTGTTTTTGCAAAATTCTGTGGCAGTCTATAATTGTTTCATTTAATTAAAGATATGAAAATTCAAGCTTCTTCCTTTGCAAAGATACAGCCTGTGCTACTTATTTTGCAAAAAGCACTACAAAAATCTATGTTAATGTAACACTAAAGTCACACAGTTGAAATAACAGTAAAAAAAATACAACAGTAAAGATTCCAGTGGTAGTGTTAACTTAGCCCAATTGCATATTCTGTATATTTTATTGTATACGTTTAACAGCATAAACAGAAATATGCAAACATACTATGTGTAACCTTGGTCCCTTTATATCACATCTCACCATACTGGTATAAACTCTTTCATTTACGTTTACATCCTTTTACCCAGGTAGAATTGCTTCACATATTAGGTATAACCTAATATTTTAATGTGTCACTACAAGTTTTTTCAGAACACTTCAGTATTTGACTCTAGAAAGCCCAGCTCTAGTTTTTCTTTAAACTTTACCCACATCTGTTACATCTTGTACAGGAAGAAATAAATTTTGCATGAAAGCAAAGTCTATTTTAAGTGAAGTAAAAATCTACTTACATTTCGACAATGGTGCATGCTTACTCAGTAGCCTTGTCTCACAGTAGTCAGTTTTTGTGCTTGAAGTGAAGCTTAGCTTCCCCATTTTTGGAGGAGATGGGTCAGGAAGGAGAATTTCTCTGGTCAGTCTCCTGGGGTTTGTTTGCATGGTGGTATATTTGTCCCTCTTTGACACACACAATTTTTGTAAAAGTATTTATAAAGTGAAAAGATGGAATGTAAAGTATATAAACTACAAGGGGTAGGAATGGCCATAAAACAGATCCAGATATGAAGGACTCAATGGCCTACTTTGTCCTGTACAACTGCATGGTTTGGGTACTTCAAGGATAATACATTTCCTTTCTTTCTCCCCCTTTTAGGAGACGTTGATCCAGCAGCAAGTGTCATTTCATTAGGTCCTGTATCTCTGATGTTGTGGATAGTGGAGTCCTCCAGCAATTAAATGAGAGCCGTGGACACATCTCAGCATGTCAGTCTAGAGAGTTCAGAATCGAAACCTGGGACAGGCTGGAGCCGTGGGGAAGAAACACCAGCCTCCACTAAAAACAGAACAAGTGGAAGCTTCCAAGTCATGGCCTACAAAAAAAGCATTTTGTTACAGGAACCGTGTGAGGGTTAATCTTCTCATGAGAATGGAAGTAAATAAATGAGATGGTTAACTTGACCAGTGAGCAGTTCAGTTACAACAAAGAGCAATTAAAAATAAGATGGATTACACTGGAACGGAAAGGGTTTTGATGGCTCGATGTGAGGAAAAAACAAAGAAAGTTCTAAACCCAGTGGGAGTTATATTATCTCTGAATCGAGCATTCTGTGGCAGAAGAATATTCTTTTGGGGGCTTCAAGTCTACAGTAGAAAAGTGTAGAGCAAGCAGTAAAATCTTATCGCAAACCCTGACATGTAGGATGACAAAATTATGATCAATTAGCAAACATCAGATACTCCACAGAGGGAAGGCTTTTGTTTTAACAATAACCTTTTTCTAAAAGGAATAGGCGGGAGGGGGAAAATCAAACAGAGGCAAGGAGATAAAATTGTCTGTTAAGGTTAAAGACAAAATGTGAAGTTTATTGACAGAGTGTTTACCCAAATTGCATAGAACAGCCTGACACCAGCCTAAGAACAGGGATATAGTTGAGCCCCATTGTAAGTATCATTGAAAACCAAAATGTGCCAGTCAGCATGACAGAAGGACATCAAGGAGCGGATCCAAATGTTTTGTTGACCTTCACGGGTTGACGAGCCTTTGTGTCTAAAAAAGAGAGAGAAAAAAGTCTGGAAATAAATAGAATTTTTATTTTATTTTTTTTCTAGGTAGAAAAGAGGTTTCTTGGTCCGTTTCTGACAATCTGTTATTTATTAGTATAGTTGTGTTTTTTTGTTCGCTTTCAGGTAGGTGTAGTACATTCAGTTAAAGAGCACATCTGTATGCTACTACTTGATTAAATCTTTTTTTCTAGCTCTTTTAAAATTCTTTCTACCACTGGTTTGGTTTTTGCATGTAGAATAAAAAGACTTGTAAAATTGTAACATTTCATACAGAAATGCCGCCCGATCTTCACCAGCTTCAGAAATCTGACCTTTGCCGATGCTGCAATAAAGTGTTGTAATTTAGAATTAGTGTCTCTCTCTCTTTAAGTTCATTTTGAAGTAAATGATTATCTGAAATCATATTAATACATTATGTACTCTATACCCTTGAGGATATTTTTGGCCAGTATTTCACTTATTTGAGTGTCATAAGGACTATATGGCATTGTACAAACATGAGATGGTCCCTGCCTCAACAAGCTGACAAACTAGATCAGACACCGATACAGGGCCGGTGTAAGGAAGTTTCGTGCCCTAGGCAAAACTTCCACCTTGCGCCCCAGCCCTGCGGC